CCCCGCCCCCTAGAACTTCATGTCAGAGCACCAGTCATATGGATGGTACTAAAAAACTGTCCAATCCCCGAAGCAGATCAGTAATCGATTTGGACAGGTGGCTGATGTTTGGACAAGGGAAGAGAGTCGGGCCGACTCTTGGTATCGCGTCTTCACGGCACTCAGCGCATCTGCTGACGGTCTTGCATCTAACATCATGCCTCGGCTTGGAAAGCTGCCCGTTTACAGGATGTTTTCGTCGTCTCAAAATGGAGAGGCAGGCTGCTATGGGTATTTCTTAATGTAATCTTTTATGAAACATTCGGAGCCTTTCTGCTTGGTCTCAAATCTGAGCACGTTGCGCAGTCTAGCCTCGTGTGGCAGGGATATACATGCTGTTTAAAGTTGTCAGCCACTGTGCCCGATCTCGCCTGCGATCATCTTGACTCGGTCGTGGCACCAAGTATTGAGGAGAAGGTAGGAGAGAGATCGTATTAAATGCTACGCAAGTCAACAGTCTGAGCTGTCCTTGTTGTAGCACAGGCCAAACTGAATGCATGCATGAACACAAGTTGGCTGTACGACGAGGTGACGTACTATCACAAGTTTCAATTCATCCCTATAAAGCAGGCCATGAATTCAACTTCGCTGCCCTCAAAGTACTCGCTCACGCCGGAACCAAGGAAAGTAGAGAATTTATTGAAGACTGCTCCACGGACAGGAATTCAATCAACCGTTGTATCGAATTGGCGCCGACGTATAGAGCCTTGAGCAATTGCGTACAGTCACGCCTAGTCGTCTATTATAGTTAATTGCCTCCATTTTCGTTGTTGACGCCCTGATAAACGTTGGAATCACTGAGAGTAAATAAACGTATACCTCTATAAGTGCCCCCTACCCGCCCCTTTCATCACCGTTTCCTACTCCGTACGACCTGACAACGCCTGAGAGTTAATCGCTGTACGCATACCATAATAAGCCTCCCTTTTGTTGCTCTTTCTTATCTCTGATGAAGGACTCCTGTAAGATTTCGGAAGCTCAGGATAATAAAAAACTGCATCCGGTGCTCGAGAGTCCTGTTTCGTTATTCATTATAAATCTATTTACGGGTCGTCCCTGCACGTGCCATGTTGTGGGGTACACGGTAGACATCATGCGTAACGATGCTCGATTTGTCACTAAGACTTGTCGCCAACCCTTGCCTACCTACCTCCAGGTTGCTACTGTCATCGACATATTTAGTAGCACATCATCATCATCATTGACAGCGCTGTTGCCCGGATTAATTACGAATGCTACCAACATACCTACCATCATTATCATTACCACCATCTTACAGACTTACATTGTCATGGCCATTACGCTGGCATCACCACCTCGCCTCTAAACGTCATCTTTCTTGTCATTATTCTAGTAATGCACGGTATCTGGATCATCTATATTATGGAAGTCAAATGATCTAACTATCACCACACGCAGTTACTCTCAAACTTTTCTCATCAACCTCACCACCAACATTCCCCACGTCCGGAATCCTTTTTTGTGCATTCTGTACATCACGCAAGCTCCACTATCGTCAGTCTTCATAGGGTTGGCAGCAGTCCCACCATTATCGCTATCCGCACAGTCTAAACCCTTTTCGGTGTGAACCGTGTCTTTATCAGCACATCAACGTGGTCTACGTATTCATAATTAGAAGGCATTAGAATAGACCTATCATTACTGCCACTAATATTATCATAAATTTCACCATTTCATCACGATCGTCGTCATGACCATCTTCATCGTAGCATTTAACAATGTCATCGAATTCCCTAGCGCCATCACTGAACAGAAATTAGATAATCATGCAGCTCCCACAGTCGCCCCACTCTCATACTGCGTCACCAATTCGACAGTTCGACCGACGCTCTCGACGATTTCCACCACGAGCTTCATCAAGCTGAAGTAGCGCGGTGACTGCGGTTGGAATGCGTGAAAGTATACTCGCCGGATCTACTCCATTCTCTGCCCACTCCCACACCCGAACCCGATGTCAAGACAAATGTCGAGAAGACTGGAGTTGGGGGAGGGCGCAGGTCGTGTGCGAGAAACGAACTCCAACACGCACTACAACAACACCACCTCGCTAAGTAGACTACCGCCTCGGAGCGCCGTAAAGGTCAATTTAAGGAGGAGCCATTGAGTCAGACTCGCTGCACGTAGTAAGCCACTGTACGCAAGAAGACACGCTGGGCCGACTGCGGTGTCCAAGTTATTGCGTCAGTTGGCAGCCCTCCAAGCCACGGCTTTTAGCGCGGCGTAACATCTTCAAGCGCATCAGATTGTTTTAAGTGGGGAAAGCAATGCGCCGACGGTCGACCTCACTCTCTCCCCCCACCGCCATCAATAGGCCACCGCCTAGCTGATCGGTCACCTGAAATAGGATGGGTACGGCGTCACTAATAGCACCGCCACTAAACTCACCAACAACACTATTAGATCCATACTGCAGTCCTTAGACATGACAACAGCCGACAACAACGCTTTTATGCAGGCGACAATAGTTACGTCACCAATAACATCGCCCTCCGATCGTATGGTCAATAAAAGTGTTCCTTTTAGGATATGGCATGTGACCCCTCTGTATGGTCAACTAAAAATTCTGTCTTCTCATTTTACCTAGACGAGTAAGGTTCATTACGACTCGCCCCGAAAGGTGTCGCGAAAGGGGTTATGCGACACATGGCCTTCGAGAACTTCAGGCTTACGGGTTAGTGATTACCCGCTACAGACTTGGTCACTGTTGGCGCTCCAGTCGCTGTTAAATACCGTTTTCCTATTGGGGCTCCACCACCCTGGTCCATGTTCCTCATCGCCTTCGTTATTTACAAAAAGTATATGCAAGATGCCAATGAGGCGGACGTAAATTTTCGATTAATCCAACATCAGGCAAATACAATAATGTAAGGGAGGGTAGAGGCAACTAAAGTTTAAGCAACCAATCAGTAGTAATTAGGGGGAGAAGTGTTAAGAGACCAAAGGGGTCAAATTCTAGTCACAACAAGGGACCAGAGAGGGGAAAGGCGGAAAGGTGTCGGACAATTAGTTCATGTCGCCCCGTCGTCCTAGTCTCGCTTTTTGGTGGGAGGCTTGAGGACGCAAGGTGTCATCGTCTGCTGACGGTGTGGGTGGCCTGGGGATGCTTGTTGTCTTCGCCGTTTCGCGGCGTGGGTACACCTGCTGTCGCTGTCTCGTCACCGTCTCGCGGTGTGGTCGGAAGAGTGTGGACAGATGTTGTGTCGGTCTTCGACCAATACAATAATATAAGGGAGAGTGGGGAAATGAATGCCTAGGGATGCAGTCAATAGGAAGTAATGGGAAAGCGGATGTTAGGTAACCCAGTAGTTAAATAGTAGTCATTTCAAGATGGTGAGAGAGGGGGAAGGGGGTAGAGAAAGCGGTCCCACTATTAGTTGATATCGCTGCGCCGTCGCTGTAACGTGCCTGTATAAAAGCCTTAGCAAAAGTAGCTTATGTAGCTCCACCATTTATCCCCTAGGTCCCAACATTTTGTCCTGCAAAAACGGTGGTTATAGAGTTTTGTGGGGTGGGGAAATAGGATAGGCAAAGGAGGAA